TGCGATTCCGGTGGAGTGATTTAGAAAGACGAGGCGGTGTCGAAGCTCTTCGATGAATGCTGCATTCTGGTTTCTTTTTTGCAGTCCACGAGAAATAGCAAAACAGGGTTTTTCTTTCCGAGTTCCGATAGAATAGCTTTTCTTAGGTCTACATAATTTATGTTTCGCAAAGCATTGGCTGCAGAAACGTTAAGCAAATGCTTCGCGGATCTCAAAATTCACTGAATGCTCACCTTAACGTCAAGCCATTTTCTCAGCCCTCATTCAGAGAGTAAAAATGATTATTCCATGACTGTGGGAATGAACAGTCAGTAGGAGCGTTGATTATTCAACTCTCAGTTATACGTAGAATGAATACTTTTCAAGCTAATGAAAAGAGCATGATATCATTGCAGGTGAACGCGGCATGGATTCGTTTCGAGCAGCTGCCACTGAGTTGGGGATTTGCATTGACGGAGATGTGCACAAGATCGGCCGACGATGGACGGACAAGAATTTTCGGTAGGCTTGGCATCAGTGATCTATTTCCTTTTCTTATCTGCCCCTGTACCTAGCTTCGATATCACAGGCACTTTTTTGCCACAACTATTCACCACCGATTATTGTAGTGATGTGGAGCGTCACTACGCTTCTAAACTTTGACCCAGGGAAAGTCTTACCTGAGAGGCAGATGATTTCTTTTTTCCCTGCTGTTTGGGTCCAAACAAATCGGAGATCAAAATTCTTGAAGGCTTTTATAAATTCTCGTAAAAAAAACTGGCAAATGTTAGGCTGCTTTCATACTTTGCGACGTTGCGGACGCTGCGGTCCGTAAGCAAGGCACACACAAGACATCAAAAATAAACAGGGAAACATACTGAAACTGAAATTATCGATCGGAAGCTACCGACTGTATGCCAAGTACGCGTCGCGTGTTGACGCTCTTCACTCTCTCCGCAGCGTCCGCAACGGCGCAAAGTATGAAAGCAGCCTTATCTGAGAGAGGCTTCTGAGTTTCTGCTAACGAGCATCTGAGGCAATATTGGAGGGGGCATCATAAGACCTTAGCTATGTCTTGAATAAATTTTGACTTGTTTTCATTGTTAACTACTGTTTGTGGTTGCAGTTTGCCATGCAAAAGTCATCACAAATATGCCGAGTTGTGGGCAAAATTCTTCGTTCTGGGCGGCGTTTGAATAAATGAATTTGGCGTATGAATATCATAATCATAATTCTGTGATGGATGAAATTGTTCCATTGAACGCAGTTAGCATACGTCCAAATCCTTTCAAGAAGGATTGACTTACAGTTTCACTATTCCAACCTATGTGCTTCTTTATTTTCAAAAAAAAATTGATTTTTCAAAAATTTCAGTGATCTGTTAATCCACATGCATCGAACTCGCAAGGCTCGTGGTGTGGTGATGTTTGTCGACGAGGACAACCTGAAGCGATTACTCCATACTCTCGACAAATTGATCAAGGACGGCCACACGGAACTCGACAGGCATTTTTGGTACGGATACATATTTATTTATTTATGTTTATTTAGCTCTCGAAAATACCACATAAACAAGAAATAACCAAAAGCAACATATCGACAGATCTTCATCCCAATAATCCGGTCTTATCTAAATCTTCAATCTTTTTTGAAAGAGCTTTTCTTTTTTGCACACTGAAGGTCGAGAAAAGTGCTTGTGAAATGCAATATCCTCGTTCTAGCAACTTT